TTGGCCAGAAAGGGTCGCAATCAAAATATGCGGTTGTACTACAAGGATACAGTGATGTGCGAAGCATTAAATTGAATAAAACAGTGCTTCAAGCAACATGTAAGAATATCTATCATTTAACGAGAGTTTTAGCAACACACGTTTGTCATTTTGTTCTGAAGGCAACATTGAATTCAATTGTGGTGTCTGTCTGAACACTACGGGGCACCAATGTAATGATATACATGACTTAAAAGAAGAAAAAATAAGGCACAAAGAAGAAATCTAAATCCGATTCACTGCTTGCTGAGCTGTAAATACATTGAATAAAATTAGAATTAGAAAAAAACATTGTGTCAGCCATGCATGCAATTTAGTTTCTAAAAGTAAAATGCCCACAAGAGGTCACCTCAGTATCGGCTGCTGTTGCGATTACCCGATACCTTGAAATAAAGCCTGTATTGGCCCAATATGATATCTGGTATCGGTACTTTCGCATCCCTAAAGAGATAAATAGATCAAGCATACATTTTTAGTTTTAACATCAGACAAAAGTACTTTCTTTGCGTAGTCAGTCAGACTTTATTGGAGCAGGTTCGTCATGTATTTCTCCTGGAGAGCCATCATGTTATTCTGGCTCAGGTTGTTTGCCAGAAGCTTTTGAAGGAGCAGGGTGTTTATGTGGCAACTTAAGGCATGACACAAAGAGCACAAAAGTGAATGTTATGCAAAAAAAAAAAAAATATATATATGTTATTTAGTTAGTAAGGTTTTTAGTTAGTTGGACAGTGAAATAAAAAGGTTCCATATAAACAAGTTAGGTTGTTTTGTGTCACATGAACAGAGGATGTATATATATATATATATATATATCCAATTGGATGGCTTTGCGAATGGCGATTCTCAAATTGACATGGGTAGACTGTAGGTTTTACACCATGAAGTTGGCCTCGGCTGACTCTTAGCCCTTTACTGACTTACATTTGGGAGAGGTCAGATCCCAATATGAAGATGCCCGATTCCATTTTTTCTCTATTAACGTTGGCATGGCACATAAAGTTTAACAAAAATGCTGGATTTGGGATGGAACCCTCCATGCATGGTTAGGAGCTTTCGGGTCTTCAGACCACGGACACACACA